CCAAGCTTGACTTTGGTCCCTACTAGCCACTAAACTATCTAGAGGCATGGACGCCAGTGCTTACTGCCCTGGTGGCTTCACCCTTGCAACTTCTTAACTAGGTTTGCAGGGCAATTCTCTAATTACATGATTGCGTGTAGCATAGCACCTGCACTTTTTCAGCCAGTCCCTGAGGCTCTTTACTCATTTGATGTATAACAACCACTCTCGAGATACTACTGCTAGATCCATTCATAAATACCGCACCATCCATCCATAATGCAAGGCTCAGAGTTGGGGCAGAATTGAAGACCTATTTATTTCTTCTCTGAGGTTTCTAGGGCAGGTCTTTATGTAAAACTCTGAAATAGAAAGCCACTTTACGACACGTAGAGCCCCTTCCCAGATTCCTAGCAAAAATTTCTATGGGTCCCTTGAAGATGCTGGAGCTCGAGGAGGTCTATGAGTGGTTAGGTGGCACTCTAGGAAGTGCAATGGGGCGATTTTCTTTATTAAGCTACATCAAACAAAGAATCCTCAGGAAATATTCCGACAGTAGGTCACGGGATGATTACCTGAGCAAGGCTACGACTCTATGGTGACAGAGATCCTTGCTATCTGCGCCCTCCTTAGGAGGCGAGTTCGAACAATGCACCGATGCGCCTTCCGACTAACTCTGGTAACCCTGCTAATTATTTCATTTGCCCTCTCTTTCTTCCGCAACTTTAAGATTTTTTTGTAAACATTCTGTAGGTAGATGGCGTACGCCTTAAAATATGTCACAGTTGGTTGGACTTCTCGTCCAAGGGTCACTTACTTCGGGGTTTTCTAGTCAATGCGCTTGCTCTGATGCAGCACGGGATATGAGTCCAGGCTGTTGACGGAAAGTATCTTTCTTACAACGATAGCGGAGGGAAGCTACCTTCCCTGGAGGATTATGGTAGCGACAAGGGTTAAAGTCAATGTTAGAGTACCAGCGCTGCTTTGAGCTTCGTTTCTTCTGCAGACCCGCTTGAGTGGCCGTGCTGCCGTCAAATGGATCACATCCCAGCTCTCGCTTCCGACTTGTCCCGTGCATGAGGCGAGTGTCACTTAGTGACCCGTGCGATTGCCGGCGTGCAGGCATAGCTTGCCACTTACGTCATTGTTTTTGCTGGCAGCCTGAGGAACTCGGCTGCTAAGTCAGATGCTTAGTATATGCAACCAGGTGGAAAAGGCTGTTTCTTTCTTCGGATTATAATTGTGCGGTTGTCAGTGTACCGTCCACTTCTGCCATATTCGCATAATTTAGCCCGCTTGGCATGCTTGACGGAAAAGGACTACTGGAAGCCAGGTTCGCAAGCCAAAAGAAAATTAATGGGAAAATGACGAGACTCTTAACACGTGTGGCTACCAGAATTACCTCTAGCGCCATTATTCAGCTGTTCATATTTGGCGTCCGGCGGAGCAAGATCAAACTCACAAAAATTAGATTTTATCTGGAATAGTATTGAGATAGAATTTGCTTCATTTTTTTTCTTTCGTGTTCATAATCGGGGTATTGGAACTCTACTTCAGTGATCATACCTCATTACGACACAGCCTAGTTCCTCCCTCTTTCGCCTGGGATTATCTCGACTTCAAGCGCCACTCAAGGGTGTTCTAAGAATCCCTCGTAATAAGTCCACTATAGTTTCCATGCCACAGCAACTGAGTTATGCATCATGGCATTGATCGAACGCCTCATTATCATATTGATTATTCAAATATTGTCTCATTCTGTATGCACAAAGACTTTATGCTCAACATTTCGGGATGCATATCTGTATCTCAATTTTTTAAAATTTACTCTGAAATCTCTGATGCAGTTGAGTGAGAAGTGTCTGTTCAAGTGCTTTATTTCCACAAGCAAGGCAATGCTGCTCTAGCTTTATGGGAATTAACATGAAATCTTCATTGTTCTATCATGTCATTCGTCATCATTCTGTCTATCTACTCGTCGATAAGTAATTAGCTACTGTTGGGAATGAACTATTTAAAATATGGTTCGCATAGTAACAATGGATATAAAGTGCCGGCAAACACAATTTCACCGCCTACCAGTGGTGCCAGTATTAAAGCTCATGGCTCTTTGAGCATCTAAGGAAGCCTAGAAAAATCGTCTTCATCTCTCAGCAAAATCCCTTGGAATCATTATCATAAAGTTAACCACAATCAGATTAGAAGATAGGTCCAAAGCTCAATGTATTATCCACTCAAATCAGTTTGTCGCGGAGAAGAAATCATTCAATTACTATTGTTACGAGGAAGAGATATTGATAGATGTACGCACCTCATTTGTCACTAGTGTCTAGGCCTCGCTTGGCTGGGGCCACTGATTGTGGGGTTGTATTTTATTTTTGGGTCGAAGATTGCATAGACAAGAAGTTTGAATTCTACGAGTAGATATTGTATTGAATGGCTATCAATCATAGCCGTTATATCAGGAACATTTTTCACAGCAAAAGAGAATCGGAGCACTGTAAAAGCTATGGCCCAGGTTGAAGGGGAGCTCAATGTGATGGATAGACATAGACTCAAGTAGCACAAAAAACACTAATACAACAGGAACAAGGTTGGTTTTAATAAGAATTTGGGAGCATTAGTGTTGATGGGGATATTATTGTAGTGCTCCATTAACCACCCCTGAGTCTAGGGGTTTTTTTTGCATTTAGTCTAGGGTTCTCCTCGCTGTATAGATTTGGATCAAACTATTCCCTAGCACTGTGGTCTTTCAAGGTCTCAGTTAGGGTGCGACTTTTTTTTAATGCATACGTTATTCAGCTATCTACAGTGCTTCTTGGATCCAAAGTGCTAAGCTTGAAACTGGGATGTTTAAGGGATTAGCCCTGTAGGCGCAGCTGGGCTAGCTCGTAATAGGTTAGTATGTCTCTCGTCATTACCCCGCTCCCCATGAAGTATGATCCAACCGTCTTCTTCTAACATTCGGTTAGATGAACACATTTTCAACGACACTTTTGACTGCCTAACCTACCCAGCCCTTGAAACTTAATATCACTATCAATTCATCCTCTATTCTAGCAAACAATGTCTCTCCAAAAGTCTGCTTCAGAAACTAAAGCTCGCAAGCATCTAACTCGCAATCAATGTATTGAAATAAAAACTTGAAGAAGACTTGGCTTGACATTACAACATATATCCTACAAACTCGGCTTCACAAGAAGGCAAGTGCACCTTGCATGTGCTCAAGAGACTGAGACTCCTATGTCTCGCAAAGGATGCTCACCTAAATTAAGAGCGGAACAAGTTGATGAGCTTGAGGCTTTCGTCCGGGAATCTCCTGAAAATCGACAGATGTGCTATTTGGAACTAGCGATGGGGCTCTTCAGCCACTGGGGATGCAGTGAACGTTTAATTTCTAATGCACTCAAAAAAAGAGGTTACAGCAGACGCATTACCCGGAAGAAGCCTCCGCTAAGCGCGGTTAACAAGTAGAAAAGATTTGAGTTCGCCCAATCACATTTAGATTGGAGCGATGAACAATGGAGTCGCATATTTTGGACTGATGAAACCTGGGTATCGGGTGATTCTCATATGAAACCTCATGTCACAAGAAAAGTACGTATAAATTCTATCAAAATCTTCCTTGTACTAACAGCAAAGTTTAGCCTGATAATGAGTTTGATGAGACTTGTATTGTGGCTCATCATGCTCATGGGAACAGTTGGATGTTTTGGGGACCATTTTATGGATCACAGAAAGGCCCATTCCTAGTCTGGGAGAAGGATTGGGGATCAATGAGAGCCTCATCCTTTTGTGAAAGGATTTTGCCTCTTCTGAATCAATTTCACATGGAAGATCCAGAAATTCTATACATGCACGACAATGCACCATGTCATAAAGCATACTCAACGATTGAGGCGCTGCGTGAGGTTGGATTAATGCCTATTAGATGGCCACCTTCGTCTCCGGACCTGAACCCGATCGAGTCATTGTGGAACATCTTAAAAAATTACATTCAGGTAAACAGTCCAGAGATAAATGGAGTTGGGCTTGTGCGCTCTGCCACGTTGAAAATATTGCTACAGGCCGCATGGGACTCTACATTCTGAGGAGCTATTGTCACAATTTTGTAGCATGCACGAAAGACTTGTAGCAGTGATAAAGGCAAATGGAGGGTACACAAAGTATTAGAATGGAGAAGACACATAAAACATGTAGTACGCTTTCATTTTAGTTGCGAGCCATACTGAGGGCTTCGATGTAGACTTTTGTAATACAGAGCAATAATTTTTGAAATAGATGTGCATTTTTAGAGACTATCAACTAACTTTTTTCAATTTTGAATTTCAACTTAGGACTATTGTACTTTTCCCACTGAGTTCAAAACCATCCCCATAATTTAGGCTTTTACGGAATGTCATTGGATATTACCCTTGCTTGTTAAACTAGTCGACGAACTAGACATGGACCTGCATAAAGACCAAACCAATCAAATTAATATGTATAGGGATCTTACCCCAGTCATTTTGACAATTGTACAATTGGCATCCTCAAGAGACTGTAGCTATGGTAAAAACTAATGCATTCTCTGCCGCATGTAATTGCCGTGAATCGAACACGAGCCTATACGTTAGAACAAAGGAGTGATAAGGGCCGTGACTGTGGCTGCCATGAAAAGTTTAAATATTTTATGGTGGCAAATGATCATATCCCATCAACTGACAACTTGCCACTATGTACGCGCCAACAGTGGGGGTCGGGTGTGACACAAAGAGCATGCGAGGAATGACGCATTAATTCTCACACTTCCACTCTCTCGGTTCCGGTACAACGGTCAGGTGGACATTGCCGGTTGATATCAGCTAATCGTTGAGTGACTCATTTCTGCTGAGTTTGGTCTTTCGAACTCTTAGCATCTCTGTGTGTGACAGGATATCTACCTATACCTCTACTTACAAATCCAACCGGAGAAAGCTGATGTTAGGTTAAAAGTCTGGGCTCCAGAAAAATATACCCTGACCCTTAGAGATTCGGTCATCATGGCACAGCAACCTGCATCTACAGATGCACCTCATACGAATAGCAGCTCTCTCCAACCTACTGCCCCCGCCTTCCAACCTGCCACCTTCGCCATCCACGCAAGTTCTTCTGCCGAAGCCATCTACATTGAAAAAGAATACACTGCACATAATTATCACTCTCTTCCCATAGTCTTTGCCCGCGCCAGTGGCTGCGATGTCTGGGATCCCGAGGGGAATCACTATCTCGATTTCCTCTCAGCTTACAGTGCCGTGAACCAAGGCCACTGTCACCCTCGTCTGGTGAAGGCTCTTTGCCAACAGGCTGAGCGACTGACTCTATCCTCGCGTGCCTTTCACAACGACGTCTTCCCGAAATGGGCCCAAAAGATCAAATCTATCTTTCATTATGATATGGTCTTACCAATGAACACAGGCGCCGAGGCGGTAGAAACTGCAATAAAGATTGCACGAAAATGGGCGTATAAAGTCAAGGGAATCCCAGCGCACAAGGCATTGGTCTTTTCCGCTGCCGGAAACTTTCATGGGCGAACGGTAGGTCCTCTCTAACCATGAACGACTTTAGAGGCCTGCTGATCTAATACGCATAGATAACTGCGGTCTCTTTATCAGTGGACTCTGAATCGCGAGAAAACTACGGTCCTTACCTCCCCGGTGTAGGTGCTAGCTGCCCAGTGACTCACAACACTATTCATTTTGATAGTGTTTCAGATCTTGAGGCTGCCCTAGCAGCTCACGGCCACGAGACGGCTGCATTCATAGTAGAGCCTATCCAAGGTGAAGCAGGCGTTGTGATTCCTGCCGACGACTATCTAGCTCGAGTCTATCAGGTATGCAAGGAACATAACGTCTTATTAATTTGTGACGAAATTCAGACCGGTATGGGTCGAACTGGTCGAGTCTTATGCTCGGAATGGGCGGGCATCAAAGCGGACATGATCGTGCTCGGCAAGGCCATTTCGGGTGGCATGTACCCTGTATCCTGTGTCCTGGGATCGAAGGAGGTTATGCTTACTGTCGAGCCCGGCACGCACGGCTCAACCTACGGAGGCAATCCACTAGGCTGTGCCGTGTCCATATGTGCCCTTGAAGTAATGGAAACGGAAGATTTAGCAGGTAGAGCTGAGGCCATGGGAATAATTTTGCGCGATGGCATTAAAAAGTTGAATTCTCCTCTAATAAAGGAAGTACGTGGTAAAGGATTATTGAATGCAATCGTCATCGACGAGAGCAGGAAGAATCAGCATACGGCTTGGGACATATGCATAATGTTAAAACAAAAGGGGTTACTCGTGAGTGCATTCATTCTTTACTCCTTGAACATTGTCAACTCATTCTATTCAACAGGCCAAGCCAACCCACGAAAACATCATTCGTCTTGCGCCGCCCCTCATAATTAGTGAGGTAATGATCCAGGAGGCCGTTACTATCATCCGGGAGACCTTCAACGAACTCATAAACGATTCGGGTGAGGTGAAAGACAAGTCTGGACAGAAAAATTTTATCTCCTGAGTAGAGAGTATAATTTGATTTGAGTAGAATTATCTCTATTACCTGAAGTTAGTGATATTTTTTCGGTGCTGTGGTTTTAGATTTAGAAGCGGTAATTTCAAGGTCTACCAAATTTATGAAACAATATTGATCAAGGCTGAGTCGCTTATGGTAGTTAAGTTGGGTAGGTCAGGCCACCAATGAAACCTACCGGTGCATATGACCCTCGCTGCACTTGTGCAAAGCGAGAAAAACATTTCTAAACGACATTTAATTGTCTTGCCAAGTGCGTTTTGTGGTGAAAGCTTGCCGATCGCACTTATAAATTTACAACTCCAGGTATTCTACCTTCTAAACTTATTCCAGGTCACTTGAGTCTCTGTACAGCCTCGGCAATTCTCCCTTTTACTTGATGACTCCCCGATAACTTGCCACAGATAAGTATGTAGTGAGACAACACAAGGTGTGATTTAATGCAATTTCAAAGGGAAATCCCCGCCTAGCCCACTGTGAAACCAAACTAGACGGTAGCTATGATATTTGTGGTGGTGCTCCCACTTTGCAGCATTTAGTCTGAGAGTCAAAGAATGAGGTTTGAGTAATGTCTTTATATCAATTTCCACTCAGGTGTTCAGATTTTATTTACGATAATCTCCATCCTTATCGGTGGCGGCATTGTGACATTACGACTGAGAGATTCTAAGGCGGCATGGGCATATCATGAAAAGGAGGTGGAAGAAAAAGAGGAAGGGGAGCATGAGATTCCCCGTAGAACGAATGTATACTGTGGGAGACGTAGAAATCTTCAAAAAGAGTAGTCGGGCTTTGTCAAGTTCAAAGGTGGACTCGACGGATCTGATATGCCGGTCCGGTATGCGTTAACGACGGGGCCAGTCAAGTCTTAGTGTATGGTTAGGGAAAAGCTTGAAATTAGTACGATGTTGGGGGGCGAGCTAACCCTATGCGGTCACGGAATTATCTAAATCGCGTCGCAATAATGAAGTTCCTGAATGAGTGGTTTTCCTTCTTTGACCACTCCCCCGGTCACCTATTTCATCGCCAGTATCTCGTGATTTGGGGTCAACGACGGACGGCCGTCTTTTGGCTTGAATTATGAGACCTCCTCTCTCCATCCCCCTCAGTCCTTCATTCCTTACCTCCCCTCACCTAATCTCACCTCTTATCCATCCATGATTATACACAACTCGACGCTGCGCCTCCAAATCTTTCCTCTTTTCAATCCCGCCGACCCGTCTGCCATATATCCCCTCCCGAGCCATTAGCTTGAACTCGGTGTACGATTAACTCCATCACCTACCCAATAATTTCTATTTGACTCTACGTGATTGCCAACGCCCATCCCCCCATAAACTTGGAACAGCTGCTTGTGTTATATCGGCTTTCTCAATCCTTCCCTCGAAGCTTCTCCGCTAGCTAGCCTCGCGCAGCTCAGTCATACCTCAAGCTTCACGATATAGCTTCATCTATCCGTCTGAAGGTCGAAACCTCGAGTCTGGTTTATGCCCAGCCTCAACACTTTCTGGTGCTAACCCTATCTTACACAGTAGGAGTGGAGCCTACGAACCAGTAAGAGCATCAAGAGTCAGGTAGATTTCGACATGGCAGTAGCACCGCGGTCTTCCTCGTCAACGCAACGATGGCCAAAGATGGTTGATAAAGTCGTTGGGAGCTTCAATATTGATGGTGAGATAGGAAGGGGAAGTTTTGCCACTGTCTACAGAGGTCATCACAAGGTGCGTCCAAGGTGATGGTGATAACCGAGTCATCAAGCAATGTAGAGCTTACTTGAGCGAGCTGATCGTACCCATATCCTCAAACCTTGATCGAGAAAAAAGCTACAAGAATGAGCGCTGATTAGTTTGTCTATAGACAACCAGGGCGCTTGTCGCTATCAAATCAGTTAATCTATCCAAGCTGAATAAGAAACTCAAGGAGAACCTTTACACTGAAATCGAAATACTCAAAGGCCTACACCATTCGCACATTGTTGCTTTGATCGACTGTCGTGAATCCGCAACTCATATACATCTTGTCATGGAATATTGTGAACTAGGTGACCTCTCCTACTTCATCAAGAAGCGGGAAAAACTCGGTGATCATGAGGCACTCCGGGAGATGGCGAGGCGCTACCCTGTGCCGGCTGTGGGTGGACTGCACGAAGTGATTGTCCGGCACTTCTTAAAGCAACTAGCAAGCGCACTCGAATTTATGAGAGCAAGAAATTACATACACCGAGATGTCAAGCCGCAGAACTTACTGATTCTACCAAGTCCAGTATTCTTGGCTAATTCCCGGGGGAGGCCTGTAGCTATGAAAGGAATCTCAACCTCCTTAGAGCCTGCAGCTGGCTTATTGACCTTACCTATGCTCAAGATTGCTGATTTCGGCTTTGCCCGATCATTGCCCTCAACTAGTCTCGCGGAGACCTTGTGTGGATCACCATTATACATGGCCCCTGAAATCCTAAGATACGAGAAATATGATGCAAAGGCTGACCTGTGGTCCGTCGGAACTGTGCTGTATGAGATGATGACTGGGAAACCTCCCTTCCGAGCTACTAATCACGTCGAGCTACTTCGCAGGATTGAACAAAGCGAGGATCATATCCGCTTCCCAAAAGATGTCTTGATAAGTGCAGGTATTAAAGATCTAATCCAGGCATTATTGAAAAGAACGCCAAGCACCAGAATGAGCTTTAGAAATTTCTTTGCGCATCCCGTTGTGGTTGAAACTATTCCAGGACTTGTAGGAGATGACCAAAAGATGGATCTCCAGGTTTCTACCAGATCCTCAGGAACCTTGTTATCGCAGACGCCATCCATAAAAAGTAATCATCAGTTCTCACAAAATGGGGGCCGCTTCTCTAATCCTTCTTCTCCCAAGGATCGTGTGTCCCCTGCTTTTCCCGGGATGCATACAGCCGAAATACAAAAAACAACGGCCTGTAATTCACCCCGTGCAGCTATACCAGCGCGTCATGTCATTTTGGACCAAAAGCGACCCTCAATAGTATCCTCGGTAACGACCCCGAATATGAAAATAATGCCACTCAAACATACTCGAATCAATACTCAGGAAATAATTGGCGATAAAGCGCAACAACCAGAACATGCCGATGATCCTAGTCTGGGTGAAGCTAGGGCAGAAGCAGAACAAGCTGTGCGCGACGCAAGGGAGTATGTTCTTGTGGAAAAGCGAGCTGTCGAAGTCAATGCCTTCGCCGACGAGATGGCAGCAAATCCTCGATTACAAGGCACAAAATACCCCTTGGCATCAAAGACGGGAATAATGGCCCGGCGCGCCACTACTCAAGGAGTGCCTACAGCGGATATAGAAAATGGACCAGTATCACCGACACGCCAATGCAAGATATCTGATGGTAGATTAAAGGCAGAAGCTGTATTACATCGGCAAAATTCACACAGGAAATCATACGGCAGCCCATCTGTGACATCTGCAATCTCTAGAGCTCTTAATAGTGCCAGTTTAAGAGTTTTTGGCGTTTCTTATCCAGATATTGGTACGAAGGGTGGATCGCCACCTAATTTTTACAACCACACATACCCAACAAGCACAACTTCACCTAGTGCCCTCGCACTAATCGGAGATGGGAGCACCAATAGAACTCTCGATGAGGACTATAAATTTCTTATTGAAATAGAGGAAGCAGCCACTCGTAGTGATGTTGTTTTTGGCTTTGCAGAAGTCAAGTACAAACAGCTCATTCCTCTAGCGCCTTCGGTGGATCGTGGACTCGGTGGCCTAGATGCTGTTAGCAATGATGGATTATCGGCTTTAGAGGACGAAGGTCTTACGCAAGAAGCAGTTGTGGCCCTCTCGGAGGAAGCTCTTCTGCTCTATATCAAAGCCCTTTCCCTGCTTGCAAAGTCAATGGACATAGCTAGGGCATGGTGGACTCGAAAATCCCGAAACTATTCTCTACAAAGTTATGCAATTATCCGTAATGAGCCATACAGCCATACATTAGTCGGAACTCGCATTAACCTCGCTGTTCAATGGGTGCGAAATCGGTTTAACGAGGTCTTTGAGAAGGCAGAGTTAATTAGCCTTAAACTTCTTCATGCCCAAAAGCAGCTTCCGGAAACACACCCTGCTTACCTAAATCATACTTCTATGGGTTCTGCTAATGTTAATTGTAATGTTATTTTCACTTCTGGAATCACCGCTGAAAAGTTAATGTACGACCGTGCAATAGACATGAGTCGCAGCGCCGCTATCAATGAACTAGCCAACGAAGATATCGATGGTTGCGAGCGAAGCTATATGACTGCTATCAAAATGCTCGAGGCCGTGCTAGAAAATGATGAAAACTCTTCTGAAGTAGCTAAGACTAGATTCTACGGCGCAAAAGAAGAAAATGTCGAAAAGCATGATGATCTCATGAATGGGATTGATTTCGCCGATCGTCAGGCTGTTTTAAAAGGTACACATTCATCACAATCATTTTTGGATTATCTGACATTTCTAGTAATATCTATGATCAAAGTTCGTCTTGGCAATTTACACAAGAAGAAAAACTTAATAGCCAAACACTCAATGTCCCCCCGTCCAGACTAGCGCCTTGACTATCGTTAAATTCCCCCTTAGCGCAAATAATGCTTTAATTCGCCATACCATGATCGCCTTTCAAAAATTAAATAGCCCCCAATTTATTGCTTAGGCTCGGGTGGGAAGCCTGGCAGATACGGAATATTACAAACGACTAAAATTTCGAGCCACCTCAAATCTTTTACTTGAAACCAAATTTTTTATTAAAGTACTGTTCAAAATATTTCTTTTAGTTTTTTTTTCGCGTGGGGCGTTGGGGATAAGGATTACATGTCCGATTAACTCATGGTAGATTGAGTATTGATTTGCTTTTTTCAAATTTTGGTATGGAATTGAATATGAAACGAGCAGCGAATGGCTGATTAAATGATTGATGAATTCGTTGCTGGCAAGGGCCTAGCGTCATTAGAAGTGGCAGGGGTTGCTACAAACTAGCTAGCATGGCTTTAGAAGAACATGTTTATACCCCTGCTGCACGTTAAACTTATGGATTTGAACAGTTTTCTGGAGTACTTGTAAAGGATAAAAGGACAAAGGTGGCAGCATTAAATATAGGCGTGGTGGCGGGTGAGGTAGAGGTCATTGTTTACGTAGGTATACACGATGCCGAGAAATCCGACATCTGGCATGTAAATGAGCTATGTGTCTCTACTAAAAGGGGCGAAAGGAAAGTACAGATAATATCAGCGCTTTCCACCACTCTATGAAGTTCCACAAAAGTGTAAATACTACGAACAGTGACTTGTAAAATATGACCATTGGTTGGCAGCTCATCCACAACCATGCAAGCTAGTTTCCGTCTTGAAATGTCCTGTACGAACTGCTCGATAGGAACATTATAGCATATCACTATTAGGTCGCCATTAATGTGACCGGGAGCAGCCTGGACCCCGACTGAAAATTTGCCACATTAAGAGATCTGATCTCAAAAGAATTTTCTGTGGCTAATTTCTGTGGGTGCACTGTTGACTGGACTTGCAAATTTGCTCACATAGCACCAAAGTCTACTGACACCAATGGGCTCGTGCTCAATGTTGTTCTCACTCTATACGATTTGGAGGCTGGAGCCGACTGATAGTCAGTTAAATAAAATGAACAGGTCACTTTAAGGTTGTCAAGGTGTATATGTCACAGGCTGTAGCCTTGTATGTGGCTCTCTAACTATTCGGCTCCGCCTATGAACAAGAGAGCGCTAGTGTCGCGTGAAAACGCGCTCGATGGGAACAAAGCATCTCGCGCGTCCGCCTGCGCCTGAGCCAAACTTCTTAATAGATAAAATATAAATTCATTTTTGGACCTGTAATTGTTAACAACACAAGTGAAGTGCCTTCTCAGGGTAGCATGGAAGCACAGACATATATCGACTAGCGCGAGTGTTGGAACGCGAGGGTGATATGATGCCTATAGAAACCTTCCTGAAGATCCAAAAATATAAGCACTTCGGCCGTCCAGACAGCTACCAGTCCAAGAGATCGTGCTGTCCAATCAAGGGAGAAGTCATGTGTTGGAAAACTTAAAGACGGCGCAAAGAACGTATACTAAATGTCACGTTTCTGCGGTTGTGTTGATGGATCTTGTCTATTCTATAAAAGATACTAATGTTAGTATTTGTTAAAATGTAGAATAATTGGGGCTATCAAGTAGGCCACATTGTTGATACACACGTGACTGCAAATTCTGTACTTAATTTCACTTCTTAAATTTCTTGAATCAATGCGCTCTACAACCTCAATGACTGAGGGGTCATTATTTCCTTAATAACTAATGCTCATATTGGGCTGGATGATGCAGTGGTACACCATCTGGGCCGTTTTCCCAAGTAGATACTGGGTAGCTTGAACACCTACCCCATTCGAGACAGGAGAAACCTGTTTCGAAACCAGTAAGACCCACACACCTCTCTCTCTCGCGGTGATATTGTTCATTTGGGATGATGGAGCATACTCGGATAGCCACAGGTTATTCACGCTTTTCTCTCTGGTGGGTATGCACGGAAGAGGTTATACGCCGTAAGGGTTAACCTCGAGTGGTATCTGCAAATGAAACCTGAATGTTAGTGTACTATATATCAAGTTGAGTCATCCTACTTAAAGTACATGTCTTCCGATAAAAGCCTGCATGGGCCTCAAGGCGCCAAATCGAGTAAAAATGAATTATATATAATGCTCATATAGAGCGATGACTAATCTTTGACTAACATTGGAAAGTGAGGTCAAAACATGCATACCAAAAGTATGGACGCTCACGACAGAAGATTAGATCTAGGCCGCTTGGTAGAAATTTGCAGGCAGAGGCGGGAAAGGTTGCCTTGTGCTTAGAACGGGCGAATTCAGCAGCTCCAACAACTGTCAACAGCAGACCCGGAAACCGAAAGAGAAGCCAAGCCCCATCAAAGTCGAAATTCTGGAGGGTGTTCAACGAGTCCCTAGGACTAGCCGTTATCTCTACGCAGAAATGTTTAAGGGGCCCAGAGTAGCCTGGCTCTACCCTAGGCAGGCGAACGGTGCAAGAGAGCTTCGGAGAAATGACAAGGATTGGTTCTGTGAAGCAATGATAACTATCCTAACGATATCGAAGGATTACGCGGTGGATCTGAGACAGCGGATGGATAGAGTAAGGTCGGACAAGCGCGGCTGAAGTGCTGCCGAGCCATAGAGATTGGACGGGCAAAAATTGAGATCAATAAATGTATGATTGGTTCACATAAATGGCACTGTGCACTCAGGGGGGCAATTGGAGAGCCCCAAGACACGAGACCGACAGGCCCGAGGGTTCAGCGCGAGATCTACGTAAATATGTCGGGAGGGTTAGCAGCCACTTCAGCCGGCGCAAAGACGGCCGAATCGGGAAAATGAAATCAATTTCCAGACGCGAATCTAGCGCGAGAGTTTCCGCTTGTCCAACCCTCGGCTCTAGACTCTTCATGCTCAGTGCGTAGATGCGTCTCGACGTGATTCCCGCCATTCAGAGGGGACGTGGCATATCTGTACCCTTGCGCTGATTGGCCTCGCTCGCGCCAAACCTCCTGCCGGAAAACTCGGGTGACAAAAATATCGTAAGCTTGCCATAGCCGTAATATCAATGGTGGTCAACATTTATCTTGATTAGTGCTCATTCCCACCACGAGACCCCCGGACATCCCACATGATTCGGCGCGCCTCGCCTGGCTGCAGCATTTTCGCGAATTTTTCTTGTGCACGCAGTTTCCACTGCCACCCATTCTTTTAGGGTTGAAGGTTCCGTGGAAGAGGGGGCTGAATTCCACGGCCAAGTACTGAGCTGGATGGCCATTCATCATGGGCCATATTTCAATGATGTTTGGAGCAGCGAAAGAGGCCAGGAGCACGGTACACGGTGTGGCCTGGGTCAGAGAGAAGCCCAATGTGCTAGATAGTCTATGACTCAAGTAATATGATAAATACATCACTCCCCTCTTCTCCATGCACACCCGCCACACGTAAAAGTGTGAAACTCTATGGCTGTCTGCGCATGCTCTCGTCACCCTACAAGTGCGACACCACCGCGAGTGAGTTTAGTGTGCAGGTCCTACTGAATTGAAACCAGCCGTCACCTATCTCAAAGGGGTGGGTGTTCAAGCAACCCCGAATCTAATCAAGATGACGGTGTACCACTTCGCCATCCAGCCCAGTGCAATACCGTATTGAACCTAAAGGAATGCTATTTCCCGGACGCCGTGGTGAGACAGGTGACGATGTAGACGTCAATGGCACCCGCAAACCATGCGTTGGAGGGCAAAGACTGAGCACCTGTTCATCGTGTCCTCTACAAACCTGGAAGTGCAAAACCTCTCACAGCTAAAATCCAGTCATCTCGCAACGGTCGAACAGATTTGTTCCCGACAGAGATTCTCGCCAGATGACGCGGTGCTGGGCAGCTTTTGGTCAGATTCCAAGATTGCAGAGATTTCTCAATTACACAAATCACGGAGAGAATAATCAGGACCATTCAAGAAGGTATTAGGCTGACCTAAATACCTCAACCCTCCTAGGTCTGCCGAACAACCATCCAACTGCGATCTAATAAATGCCTAAAAAGCTAAAATACGACCCACGATCCCTTCTTCCAACACTTTCATCGATTGGGACTGGTATGAGGACGCCTGTCAGACTGGAGCGAAGAAGTATAGACTGAAGTGTAATTGTAGTGGAAGAGATGTTGGATGGACTGCAAAATATGATTGAAGGTCTACTTGAGATCATTTAAAGAGACTACAGGTTTGGGTTGTAGATAATATAAATATCTAGAGAGACTAAAGGCTCGAGCGAATACTAGTGGTGACTGTAGGTACTAAAGGCGAACAGAGATGATCTGAAGGAGTTGGGTATGAAAGAAAGCTATGCGTGAGAAAACTCTGTATCAACAGGCAAGCCTTCATAAATATATCAAGTGCCAAGAACTATACTGTGGTCACAACAACATCAGGAGAAGGGTAAAATTATTAACAAAAGATAGGATGGGAAGGAGAATCCTTACAACACCAAACCTGGCTACTAAGCATAAATATTTGATTGAGAATTCACAGCCTACAAAGATGGGAGAGATACTGTGGCCCGGAACCTTTGGAAGCTGTTGGAATAGAAAACCTGAGATAGGGAGGCTATCACCTAAAAGAATGGAGGAGGCAGCCATTGCTTCACAATTCCGATACCTTTCTGATGCGCCGAGCAGTGGTTGGGTCTCAGTATTCCAATTGCTAACCTTATTTGGGAGGGTTGGCTCGTCGGGTAGTCCATATATACTGAGCTAACTAGCACTTATCCCTGTAGTCTAGTATTGTGCGCCAATACGACGTTGAGTAATCCTAAAAAAGCGATAACAATTCAACAATATAACTGTTACTCCTTGGTAGGTGACATGGTTATCTCTAAATAACCACATGTTCCGACGGTGAGTATTCGTATTGTCGTGAGCGTATATTTAGTAACTGGTTGAGGCCTGAGAATAGTCGATAAAAGGTGTGGTCACTGAAATGATGATGTACTTGGCCATAATTGTAGGCTTGATGAGGCTTAGGTAGGAATCGATCTCGTTTTGAGTAAAAATTTGACATGGTGTAGTATTTTGATTCATTGCCTCGTGGGCCAAATTCTCTAGTCTTGCGAACTTTGACTGAACTTGGCTCTGGGAGAATATTTCACTCCCAGGTTCGTAGAGGACACCGCGGACAGGTGTTCAGGCTTTGCCCTCCGGGATCAGGTCAAGTGCCACGGGAATCCTAGCAGCATTCTCAATACACAAATGGGCAATTTCCGCCATCGATGGTGTCGACAAAAATATCTATAAGTTTAACAACTGCCTAATTATTAACCATCTCGTGGATTTCAATAAACCTTGATTAATTCGAGCCCTTCATGCACACATAAAAACTTCATTGAAAGTAGAGGCATCTAGTCCGCAGACTTGGCTTGCAGGACTAACTTCTGGAGTCTCTCGCGAGTTTCTTATGAATTATAGTCCCATCATCTGTGAAATCATAATTTTAAACGTAAACTTTTTTTTACACAACCTCCTCAGCTTGTCGTGATGTACTTTATACCACGACCTCGCATAACGTCTCGTAAGGGACAGGATTGGTCCAAGGTCCTGTGCTATATTGGGATTCGAGTCTAATCGCTGTAATCTTGGTCTTGACGGCGCACATTCGCCTTTGGTCGTCGAATACGAGGAAGTCTTCAGTTAGATGTGTTGCTGCGGGGATTATTAGTCTGAGTGCGGCGCCGCAGGGTGGTTGAGACGCTCACAGTCAGTGTTAGAGAAAATGAGCATAAGATAAAGCATGGTTGTAGTTTGGTCTTCATGATACATGACTTTTTCGCGGATGTATCGTGTTGAGACGATATCACTAAATTTCCTTGGTTTGGCGGTGCTAGCTGTAAACTCATTGGGAGATCTTGTGAAGGAATCTCTGTATGTATCCAATGTATAGCTGCCGTAGAATCTATCCCCACAATTAAAGGTCTTCTGTTCCTCTGGTATGTGAGGCGTTTGATAGTCTTCAAGATATGCTACAGAGAAGCTGACGCTGTGAAGGATCAGGGCTATGATGTAGCAGCGCATGTTGATAAATGTTTTTTAGAATTAGCTTTGTCTCTAGCAAACGATATCAGGAAATAGAAAGTGAAAGTCCTAAGGGATATCCGTGTGTCGCAGAGCGATGGCTTATTGATGAACCCTCATTCATATGGCTCCGCTATCTAAGTGAAGGAATTATGCGCTCATTTTTGGAAAAGACTCATTATCTAGATGTGGGGAGCTATTTACTCTATTCATTACCATCCCATACTACAGCCCCTACAAGCCTCTTCTTCTTAACCATGTCAATGATAAATACAAATGATACCGGACTTATGCCCTCAAGACCAATCAACTTTTTGTCAGCGAGCGAATGCACACGAGATTTCAAAGCTGATGATAGAATAATTGTGATGGGCGATCAACAAAACAATATAGTAAAGGAATGGTGGCCGATTACTGTCTATTTTCTACATACATCTCGGAACTGTCCACCGAGGGGATGCTACTTAAGGTGTCCCAACTCCCAATGCGCTAACCTCACTATCTATTCTACTACATCATATCCTTGATATTCCGAGTGGGCTCGTCATAGCGAATCTGGGTCGTATCGGCCCATGATTCCATATGAGACTTGCTGCAACAATATCTTGTTTCCATATTTGTTGCAACCCTGTATTTGTATGGCCAAGTTGGACATCTCTCTAGATAGCAAGGCTAATGACGTAATAATGATAAGTGTCCGTGCGACAGTCACTAGGAGATAGGCGCAGCCTGTAACAATAATCCCGTGAAATGAATTAATAGCATACCAACTATGGGAAGTAGTTAGAAGCATATTCAATTTTTAACTATAGTGTAAAGTTTAATGATGTTAACAGATAACTAATTGTAATTTAATTTCCTGTTAACATATCTCTATTTGGCGAGAAGTTCCACTACTTAAAACATGGGTTTCCTGTACATTGGTGTGAACTCCAATATGCTTCCTTGTCTAACCTTCATAGGAGTGACCTCGGAGTATTTGAAATTTATGGATTGTGATAGGCGTCTGCAGGCTAATATTTGTTCATGCCGATGGGTAATGTGGTATAATCAAATTTCATGGCGCGAGTGGATATTAGAATAATATACATTGTCTTAGTGCTGCCCAAGCTTCAACACTTGATACTATACAACTTCTTGCTTGTGTCTGGATAAGCCAGCATCCTTCATTTCCATTGCCAGTCTTCGCCGAGTAAAGCATTTACCCCTCCCGGAACTGGAGAGAATACTCTTTCAACGTTTGAACTTGGTATCTTGAGATTAGTTCTCTTCGGAGCCCATCATCTTAATTATTCTGGCGAGGGGACCGACGATTGCCCACTGACTAATAACGTCTCCCGTCCTATTTTACGTTAAAGTGTTCTCTGGGGCTTTAGATTTAATCAAGAATAAGATTTCGCCTGGGACAAGGCGGTTTGTATTTCAACCACCCCCATAATTAACTCGCCTCTACCGGAGAACCGTTTCTCTTATCAAACGAAAGTTCAGTCCTGACACGTAGCGCGATGAATGAAATTTCCAACGCCTAGAATTTTCTTTCGTGCGCTCTTTAGGCGTAAGCGGCTCCTCTCGAGTCATCCAGGCTGGAATGACAGGCGATCCTAGAGTGTTAACCTTGGTGGATGAAATGAGAAATTTCCTATCCAATGACAAATTTCAGATATCACAAACTCAGAGAAAACTTCTACTGAGGATGCCATGATGTGCAAGCGAATTTTATCTTCAAAGACTTTTTCAGCATCCAATTATTCTTGAAAATCGAAGGCAAATCATCATGGTTCGCCAAGTCTCACTGGATGAGGGTCTGCCTATGAGTAACTTCGTCGCCAGCCAAATAATTGTGGCCTATATTAGTCCATATCCACTCAACTCCTGCGGCTATTCTTCTAATATTTGACCGTGAGGATTAGAGTCCCAGATAAAGTTATAAATGCTATAAACACGTCTCCCTTGCTTTAAGGCGCAGTCTTTGACCATTTTGGCTTTCGATATTGCCGAGATAAAAGATGATAATTTCTCAGGGTCCCTTCGAAGTCTAGCAATATATAGGACTTCTAGAATCAACAAATTAAACTTTGGCTGCAATTCATGGGCTACAGTTTAGATAAACTAACTTTGCCCCACATATATTGAGGATTTGTTTAGACGCAGAAATCTCCTCATGTCCACGTCTAGATGACGAGTTATCCTGTTATGTACAATTAATTACAGCACAGCACAGGCTAGCACTAATGGTCAATTGCTGGGACGAATGGGACAGGGCGCAGGGCATTTTTGTTTGGACAAATTGTATTGCTTTCTTATCTTTATTTCTTATGGTTTCTTTGGCAAGTAAAGCCATGCACGTAGGTAGTAGTGAGTCTGTAGAGATCACATACGTGTATCACGCCTATTGGGTGTAGAGCACATGCCTGATACGAATAGCAATCAATCCTCAATGCTACTGGAGCTTGAGCACGAGAGCAGTTGGATGGTTCGGTGGTAAACTGTCAGGTCACTTCTTCCATGTGGATTCCGAGTAGCTTGAACACCTACCCCTTTTCATCCAGAAGAAAGCTGGTTTGAATTCAGCAGGACTCATACACCAAAATCACTCGCGATGGCGTTGTACTTGTAGGGTGAATAAAGTACAAACTGCTAACCATGGAGTTTCCATATACTAGGTGAGGAGTAGGGAGGTTGAGAGACGCTCTTAGGTATACACAAGTCTACTCCGCCCGGTTGGCCGTTCTCTTCGTAATATGTGAGCCCCGCATCCAGTGCCTTTTGAGACTTTCCCCTGCAGCTACGCACCCGCAAATGGCCATCGTTTCGTTGGCTGGAAAGAGGAAATTATGACGGGATAACTGCTCCTCTTAATAAAATAAAGGAGTTATTCAATTGTCCTATTTTGGCGCCTTGAGGCGCATGCAGTTTTTTGTCGAGAGACATGTACTTCAAGTATGATGACTCGAATTGTCGCTTAGAACACTCACACTCAGATTTCATTTGCAGATGCCACTCGAGATTAACCCTTACGGCGTATAACCTCTTCCGTGCATATCAACCATAAGGGAAAAGCGTAAGATTCCTTGGTTATCCCAGTATGCTCTCTTAAACTCACAGATACTTCATCACCTCGAGAGGTAGTTGTGTGGGTTTTACTGGATTCGAACGAGATTTCTTCTGTCTCAAATGGGGTAGGTGTTCAAGCTACCCAGTATCTACTTGGGAGAACGGCCCGAATGGTGTACCGCTGCTCCATCCAACCTAAGGCTTCTCTTTATGTGTACTCGAACCAAGAACTGAGCCGATGTCTATTTTTTTTATTTTTTCATGTGATTTAACGTGCCAAACTAGCTATCGGAGCGACTCTGCGCTATTGCAAGTACAGTTCCTTTGGGATATAAAAGGTTTAGCTTGAAACTGGGATGTTTAAGGGAATAGCCCTGTAGGCGCAGCTGAGCTAGCTCATAATAGGTTAGTATGTCTCTCGTCATTACCCCGCTCGCCATGAAGTTTGGTCCAATCGTCTTCTTCTAACAATCGCTTAGAGAAACATATTTTCAACGACACTCTTGACTGCCAAACCAACAAAGCCTCTGATTCTTAACATCACTATCAATTCATCCTCTATTGTAGCAAACAATGTCTCTCCAAAAGTCTGCTTCAGAAACTAAAGCTCGCAAGCATCTAACTCGCGATCAATTTATTGGAATAAAAACATAAAGAAGACTTGGCTTGACATTACAACATATATCCGACAAACTTGGCTTCACAAGAAGGCAAGTGCAACTTGCGTGTGCTTAGGAGACTGAGAATCCTATGTCTCGCAAAGGATGCTCACCTAAATTAAGCGTGGAACAAGTTGATGAGCTTGAGGCTTTCGTCCGGGAATCTCCTGAAAATCGACAGACGTGCTATTTGGAACTAGCGATGGGGCTCTTCAGCCACTGGGGATGCAGTGAACGTTTAATTTCTAATGCACTCATAAAAAGAGGATACAGCAGATGCATTGCTCGGAAGAAGCCTCCGTTAAGTTTAGTTAACATGCACAGAAGATGAATAGCGGTCATAAAGGAAAATGGAGTGTACACAAAGTATTAGGATGAAGAAGACTAATACAGAGCATATAGAACGGTTTCATTTTAGTCGCAAGCCATACTGAGGGCCTCTATGTATACTTTTGCAATACAGGGCAATTATTATTGAAATAGATGTGTATTTCTAGATAATATCAATTGTGTCGCAACACTATTTTGGGATGTGCATGGGTCAGGGGAGAGATCGCAATTTGTTGATAGTTGGTCACGTGGATTGATGCAGCCTGGCGTGTCGCCCTTAAGGCTGACACGCCTGTATCCAAGAGATAGAAGAACAAGAATCATCACATCAGAGAGAGACCCATTACGTACGCGTATACGTGTTTATTACCGACCGACAAATTGATTTTTTTTAATTTTTAATTTTAAATGAGGACCATTGTACATTTCCCATGGTATTGAAAACTATCCCCATAATTTAGACTTTCACGGAATATCAATGGACAGTACCCCTTGCCTGCTTAAATAGTTGACGAACTAGACATGGACCTGCATGAAGACCATACCAATTAAGGCAATATGTACAGGGATCTAACCCCAGTCATTTTGACAATTGTACAATTACACCCCATAAGAGACTGTATTTAGACGCGTATGGGGCCGTGTCGGATCAGGTCCCACTTTAATGAAAAGGTGCACCTGAGCTATAGACAATTTGTTGAACACGTTACATTCCACCTGCCCTCTCTTCTTTCACTACAAGCATTTTCACGCACGTTTGCGTCCTTGAGCTTTCCGGCTAAGCTATTGTCTAGCTTCGGCCACTACGAATCTACGCCTTCAGTCTAGTTTAATAGCTGCCTCTGCTCAACGCTGTTGCCTGTTACATCATATGGCTACTAAACTCCATTTTTTTCTCGGCACGCCTGCCATGCCCGTCGAAGCTCTTTAGTAGATTCAACTGACTTTTATAAATTT